TTGAGTGTTGGATAATTCTTGCTGGATTTTCGACGAACAAACCTATTTATACAGAAGAAATAAGGCAAATCAAAAATAACCGAAAACATGAAGGAATACAAGCCAAGAAGCAAACCAAACAAAGCAACTAAAAAAAAGAAAACAAGCAAATAAATTGGTAATTGTACATTATGAAGTGTAGAAAACAATAGCCGACTTGTATATTTGCTTGTCCATGCTCACTATTTACATTTGCAAGATGAGTACGCTACATAACAATTCGTTTTCGTTGTCGAATTTACTTACTGGACTAATCCTACATTCATACATACATACATAGAATGAATTAGTAACACATTTATAATAAAATATCGTATTTTGGAATTGTTATTCAGCGCATCATCGGCGGTGAAGGCATTCGCACTAAGCTTATTGAACTGCCATTCAACCAAGCGATCAAGCAATCAAACGATTCCACCAAATTTAGCGACATAACAAAATTGAGAAAAGAAAAAACACTCCGGTTTTTTAGGTTTCCATTAAAAACAATGTTAAGAAACAGTATAAAGCTAATTTTTTATGGCCGCAAACAGGTTTGCAAAGCGCTTTCAGCCCCACTGGCTGACGGGCGTTAATTTTTTATGACCGAAATTCTAATTTTGTTACACACTAGTGGGTAGTTAGCAGTTAGTATTTAGCGTCGAGGCAAAAAATGAAAACAAATCGGTCAAAATTCGTTAAATTTTCAATATTCCAGATGCGCAATTTTAAAGAATAAATCACAAATAACTAATAAACATAAACGCACAGATATGTTATGTACGTACATACATACAGTCATGTGAAAATTAATAGGGAACGACATTTTGACCAGTTTCGGCTTACTGGCGGCTGTTTACTGTTTATTATTTTGTTATAGAAGGTTTAAGTACAAGCAAAATGTATTCAACAAAGTGTGATTGAATTTGACATTGCTCTCAGAAGAATCATCCTATAAAGTCAAATTGAAAAAATTTTGTATGAATTTTGAATCGATTGTTTATATTTTTTGGCATAATAGTACCTTAAAAGAGTGCCCACCTGAGTTGTCAATCACACCTTGTTTATTACACCTTGAGTACAAGTTTCAAGCAGCTAAAAATTTATTTTTGAATTTTTTTTTTTGCTGACAGTGTCAAGCATTTTCTCCCATACAAAGTGTGTTCTCCAAATTTTTTTTTTTTGTATGGAAGAAAATAATGACACTATCTGCAAAAAAAATTATCAAAAATCAATGCGAATTTTTAGCTACTTGAAACTGGCACTTTCTTAAGCTAGAATTGAATGGGCTATAAAACTGCATGCTTAGAAAATATTAATAAAAATTTTGTTAAATTTTCTAATTTTTCTAAAAAGTTTGAAATTTGAACTTATGTGGTTTTTGTTAGACAATGAGCTATATTTAAAAATATAGCAATAAACATTAAAAAAACAATGGAAAAATAGCCAAAACTGGTCAAAATGTTGTGTGCCTATTAATTTTCACATTACTGTATGTATGTATGTATGTATGTATGTAGGAAAACCATTATCCTACACTTAATTTAGTTAAATTCAGTTAAAAGGGTGTGTGTAGCGCTTTGTTGAAACCCCTGCGAAAGCCCAACGCGTACATAGCTCAACCAACTACCTCAGAAAAAGTAATTATTTCTGCTTATGTAGCAACTAGCTTTAAATTGATGTACAATCACCTAGCAACCTTCTTGCGATAAAATAAATGCTTACACTTTTAATACTTTTGCAAAAACATAATTCAATATTTGTTGAAAAATCATCTAACTTTGGGCAATACACTATTTCAGCATTTAATATTAAGTTATTTTAAATTGGTTGAAAAGACCTCTGCAAAAGAAACATACTGACTTTGAAGTGATTTAAGCCGAATGCATTTTAAAGTATTTAAATCAAATGCAGAGCCGGATAATTGACTGCTTCCTAGGACATCGCCATGTTAAAGTCAACAGTTGTGGTGGGTAAAAAACTGGTTGAACATCAATATTTTAACTAGTTTCTTTCCGTACTGGGTACTTACTACATACCAACCATTGTATGTATGCACGTGTGAATATGTGTGTACGTTGTGTACTACAACATACCGCATATCGTCAGCGCTATAAAAATTTTGCTTTATACATGTTAGAAATAGAAATAGTCTGTAAATATTTATGTAGAACTATTTTATGCGCATGAGTTTCTCTAAGATTTTAGGTATAAGTGTACATAAATAGTAGGTATGTATGTGCATATGTATGTATGTACATGTGTATCTACTTCGATATTTTTATTAGGTTTTTTTTTGCCAAATCATTCATGAGCTTGTAAATAAAATAATTTTCTTAATAATAGTCCGTGAACCCTGTGGAGAGTATGCCCACATACATACATACTCTTGTGGTCAGCTAATTAAGTTAAGTGACAGTTTGACCAGCTTGGGCTATTTTTATTTTGTTTGTTTAATGTTTATATTTATTTTTTATAAAAGCACATTACATAACCAGCACCACATAAATCCACATTTCAACGTAGTACAAAAATTCAACCAACTTTAACAATCCACCCAATAGGTTTAAACTAAATTAAAGTATTTTTAGAAAAATTTTAGCTGTAAGTTTTATAGCCCATTAAATTTTAGTAAATTTTAATGGCTATAAAACTGCATCCCTAAAAATTTTCTATTTCTGTTATTTTATGGCCTTATAAAAATTATATTCAACATTAAAAACGGCCTCAAGCTCAATAAAAATTGTTGAATAAAAATTTTCTAAATAAAAAGATTAAAATTTTTGGGTGAGTTGTTAATAGTAGGAGAGCCCAAGACGGGATTCGGGGAATTACTTGAGCGCGTCAGATTAACATATGGAGATACCCGGCATTCTTTTGTGTACCTCTGCCAAATATAAGCCATCTGTATAGACCCGCGCGCACGATGCAGCTGATTAGAATATTACAAAAAAAAAAAATACAGGTGGATTTACTCGAGCGCGTCAGATTAAGAAATGGTGGATTAATTACATGCTGAAAAGTGTGCATTTTAGTAATCTGACGATTTGAGCGTGACGCAAGGGATTGATACGGCAAGAAAACGTTAAAAAACGGTAAATTTTTTTTATTATGAAGCAAACAGCTCAAGGATAACGGGAAGTATATGATCTGATGATTTTCACAAATTCTAAAAATTCTAAATTAAAAGTTAAATTTTTGGACGAAGTTTGAAATGTAGATTTATGAGGTGCCGGTTATGTAATGTGCTAGATTTCTCTAAAAAAATTATAAACATTAAATAGACAAAAGAAAAATAGCCACTTAAAGTATCACTTAACTTAATCAGCTGACCACAAGGTTATGTATGTATGTATGTATGTACATTTGGGTGGTCCTTAAATTTAGGAAGGAAATTTTTATATCAGATTTCCTAAGCCTAAACCCCTATGTCGATGCTACTATAGTCGAAGATATCACATATAAATTTTGGTCCCGATTGGAGTCGGTTAAGGCGTGGCGCAGGCGTTGGTCAAAATTCAGATTACCCTATGAAGTCGTCTTAACCGGCTCCAATCGGGACCAGAATTTGTGATATCTTCGACTACGTAGTATCGATTTTGGGTATGAGTTGGCAAAAAAATCTAATTTGAATTCTTTGAGTTGCTATAGAGGAATCTGAACTTTGGCTCCTGTACGACACGCCTTAACCGTCTCCAATCGGAGCCAAAATTTGTATGTGTGACTGTGGTATTACCAATTGAAGGGGTGAGACTGAAAAAATCGCTCATTTGATTTTTTAAGTACCACCCTAATGTGCATACATATGTACATAAGTACACTGTTATTACGTAGTCTGTATGCATGTAGATTAGTGTGCTGATGCTAAACAATCATAAATGAAATCCAAGCACATAGTAGACTGTTTCAAAAAAAAAATAAAAAATTTTTCGGATCCCCGAGATAAGCCGCGAGATTCCGTATATTTGAGAAAATAGAAGGCGCTTTGAACTGTAAAGATAGCATAGTGGACATTTCAGATCTGGTCGAGTACAACTCAAAACCATGTTTCAAATTTCTCCTATACGCTCAAAATCTTGACTTATGGTTAAAAAACCGAGTTTACGTACCATTGCTCTCTTAAAAGTCTGTAACTTACTTACGGTTTACGAAAGAAAAACTTAGACCTTTTGAATAGTGTATATGTTAATTTACAAAACTTAAGATATCTGTATGTATTTATTCAACAATCGCAATATTTTTCGCTATTTTTCAACTTTGGTGAAGTTTTCATTCAGTATTTGATAAAGCAACCATACTAGTCCTGGACTGAAAGTCGCCGATTAAAGTAATTAATGGTATGTTCACGTTGAGCCATAAACTCGAGTTTATGGGCCATTTCGGAGCTTAACACTAAACTCTGCTCTTAAACCCGGAGTTTACCATACAACAAATTTTTGCTAAACTCGCCTTAAACATCATTTGGTATACATAAGTTTTTCCTTTTTTTATATTTTTAAGCCAGAAATACTTAAAAATAAAAAATATATATGTATGTAAGTATATTTTTTTAATTGCGTTTATTTAAAATTTGTTTTTTTTTCGCATTAGTTGATCAAAATAACAAGCACAAGCATACTCCGCTATATCAGTAGCCGCATATTTTTTTGTTTTTAATTATGTTTTATGTTTGGGTTGATTAAACAATAGATGTAGAAAAGATTGCATTGAGAAGTCAATGTTTTTAAAAAGGCCATTCTACTTTTGTACATATGTACATATGTATATGTAGGTACGTGTATGTATGTACATTAGGGTGGTCCAAGAAGAGCAAAATCGGAATTTGTATGCTCTCATCCACTATGTCGAAAAAAATAGACCCCTATTTTTTATTTAGGAA